ATGATCAAATTCTTTCCCGATTTCATCCCTGCCCACAAATAGCACAGCCCCGCCTCCTCGTCCAGGGGTACCATTGTACTTCCCAGGAAGGACCCGATGCCCTGCATTTCCAGGAAGAGAGGCTTCTCCTTTCAAAACTGATCATCCTGTGTCCATTCTCCAATGGACCTACCCTCCTGAAACCAGAAAAGGGAGGAGCTAATGCCAGATGGTGTGTGCATTGCTGTCTCTTCCTTCCCGGCTCCAGGGTTGGAATCCTGGCTCCAGGTCTAACTTGCTGTGTGATGTTGAGTATGACTCAGCCTCTCTGGGGTTTGCTTATCTCACCCAACACAGGAGGCAACACTAATTGCCTTCCAAGGCTCAAGATTAAACTTGTCCACATTCATGAATCTTCTGGCATAAAGCAGTTCCTCAAGAAATTTTAATTATGTATCTCCCCAACTCCCAAACCCATCAGGCACTTCCTCTCTCAAAATCTCTGAATCCTTTCTTCTCCCCGACTTATCGGTGCCTAATAATAATTTTAAGGTTATCCCCTCTGGGGGAATTTTAGCAGAGAAGTATTTAAAAAAAAAGCGGAGTACTAACAGTGGAATTTCTGACAATAGCTGAGGATGAGAAAATATTTTGTGTGTCAGGTAGACGGTGGAAAGCGGGCCAGTTGGACCTTTTCAGGTCATTCCTACGCCTGAATAGTAGGTGAGAAGCACTCAGTGTTGCAATCTTGATGGGGGATGGTTGGATTTAAATTTTCCAGCTGGAAAAAGGCTGAGAAACAAGAATTCCAAGAAACACGAGTCACATAAAGGCAGAAGTCTGACCAGGAAGCTGCTGAAGACACACTCACATGACTGAAAAAATTTTTTAATGGATTACAGGGTGGGTAGGAGAGCCTTTGAACCTGCCCCTTGGACTTTGTGCTCATCTACCCAAGGTGGGGCTACTTCTACCTGAAATGTCTTTTCTACCAGAAATTGTCTTTTCTTCTTGGGGGCCAAGGAGGAAGGATGAACAACTGGGGTCGAACCATAGACTAACGGAAGGGGGGCTCTCAGAAATCATTCAGTCCCATGTGCCCTTATACGAACAATAAACGAGGTTCAGTGAAGAGAAGGTTGGTGGCCAGGGGCTCTCAGGAGAACTGGCATCTCCTCTGACAAGTCCCCGGGAGCAGTTCTCTGGGAGCATTTGTTCTTGACACAGCCTGGCTCTTTGAATAAGATCAGCCCCAAACGTTTGGAGAGCAAAACATGAACCATCAATGCCATTGGCACCATCGTGTATGCATGAGGATCCCAGGGAATGGAACAACCGACCTATTAAAGCAGACGGCTTGTGGTTGATTTTTCTTCTTGCTAAACTTTGCTTTATTGTTGCTCTAGCGTTGTTTGCAAAATAAACCTCGGGGAAAGAGACGCTTGCGTTGAGAATGTGTGTGATTCTCTCAGGTTTGTCCACTGTATTGGTTTTCTGTCACTGTCAATAACGAACTCACAAAGTAAGTGCTTTAAAACAACATACATTTATTATCTCCCGGTTCTATGGGTTAGAAGTACGACTAAAGGGATGGGGTCTCACTGGGCTAAAATCAAGGCACAGGCAGGGCTGTGTTCTTTCTGGACGCTCTAGGGGAGAATCTGTTTCCTGGCCTTTTTCCAGCTTCTAGAAGCTGCCTGCATTCTTTGACTTGTGGCCCCTTCCTCAACCTTAAAGGCCAGCAACACTACATTTATCTGATCTTTCTTCTGTTGTCACATCTCTCTCTGACTACAGCCAGGAGATCTCCAATTTTAAGAGTTTATGTTCCCCAGTACCTCTATTAAAGTAAATAAATAAACCTAATTCCCCCTCAAAACAGGATAAAGATTTAAAAAAACGGCTTTTTAAAAAAACTGTATGTTAACTGAATCACTTTGCTGTACACCAGAAACTAGTACAACATTGTAAATCAACTATACTTGAATAAAAAATAATAACAATAATTACAACTAAAAAAAAAAAGAATGCATGTGACCACACTGGGCAAACGCGGATAATCCAGTCTCTCCAGCTCAAGATCCTTAACTTAATCACACCTGTGAAGTCCCTTTCAGCAGGTAAGGTAATAAATACCCACAAGTTACAAGGATTAGGGCTGGACATCTTTGGGGGCCCTTATTCTGCCTACATATTCTTTTTTTTCACCATTATCTTTATTTTTGAAGATTTTTTCATTAAAAAATTTTAAATTGAAGTATAGTCAGTTACAATGTGTCAATTTCTGATGTTTCAGTCATACACATACTGTTTACAAATTCTTTTTTTCCCTCAGTGGTGTCTCTAAAAATAAATTTTGCTTCATTACAAAAAAGAACATGTTCATTGTCATGGGAAATATGGCTAAACCAAAATCTTTTCAAGAATTTTAAATCTTTTTATTTTTAATTCTGTTTTATATCTGAATATTTATACACAGAAAAGTGCATAATGCATACAGCGACAGTCTGATTTTTATAAATAACCACACCATTGTAATGAGCACACAGATCAAGAAATAGAACATGTCCTGTGACCCCAGAAGCCCTGCTCATGCCTGCTTCAAGTCCAAAATATAATTTAACATTTATTAACATTAAAAAATTTCCTATGTGGCCAATACCTGGAGTATGATTAAATAAAAAGGAGACAGCCCAAGTGCTGTTCATGTATTCACTCATGAACTCAAGTATTTTCTGGCACCTGTCCTGGGCTGGAGGCCGGGGACCATGGGATGAGTTGGTTTGATGAGGGTCCTACGGCATAGAATCTATGGAGGCAACTGTGTGTGTGTGTGTGTGAGTGTGTGTGTGTGCATGTGTGTGTGTGCGCGCGCGCATGTGTGTATCTGTGTTGGGAGGGAGTCTGTGAAAGAGATAAGAACAGAAATGCACTGACTCAGTAGTGCTCACCAGAAGGCTTCCCAGGGAGAGTGGGTCCCAGAGGTGACTACATAGTGTAGGAGAAAGGATTTCCAGCAAGGGGAAGCACAGGAGCAAAGGGACGGCAGTGGGGCAGGTAGGAGTCGTTGCAGAGTTTGAGGAAACAGAGAAAGAGAGTTGACCATTGGACTTGCCAGCCTCAGAGCCCTTGCTCAGCCTTTCCCATTTCTACCAGCCCAAATCCCAGTTGTCCGGACTCAGAACCATAGTCCTCAGGCCAGTGTCCTCCCTTCACAGATGGTGAAGCAGGCCCAGAGGAGAAGAGGGACACTTGGGGGACAATC